ACCCAGCAGATACCAGTGACAACTCCATGGCTAAATAAAGCAGTATCCTCTGCTACACCAGGGGTTTGCCCATGGTTGGGAAGGGCTGTGTGAGTCACTGGTGGTGGTTCCTGCTCTGATAGCCAACCCTGCTGTGGGAAATGCTGCTTTTCCTTCTCCTGTCTCACCTACCCTGCTCACCTTTGCCTGGTGTATGTTGTGAGCTCTCCAGAATAAATCTCCTCATGTCTTCAGCCCCTGGTGAGGATGAGGCTTTGAAGCGAAATGACTCGGGTGTTCTTTAGCTGCCCACTTGTTGTTTTTCCTCAGGCTGTGATTATGCTGAACCTGCTCTTATTCCTCACTGAGCTGTATCTGAGGTGCCTCTGGCTACAGTTTGGTGAGGCTGGCAAGCCTTGCAGTGTCCCCTCGATGCCTTATTTCCAGCCAGGAGGGCTTCTCCTGGGAGTCACTGTCCCCAGTTAATTCATTACAGGGATTGAGTCCATGCTTCACCTGTTAGACCCTGTGAGCAGCACAGGTTTGCTCATGTTTCAGGATCCTGTTGCTACTGGAAAGCAGCTTGAAACACCAAATTTTATTATTGAAATACTGACAGCCTTTATCCCTCTTTGCAATTTGGTTTCTGTGCACTTTGTGTGACTCAGAGCATCTCTGTGCCACTGTCCCCCCACAGATGTGGCACCTGCTGCTGCTCCTTCCCTTTGCTCTGATGGAAAACTGCATTATCAGTCTTGGGCCTTACTAATGATAAAGTCTCATCACAAAATGTCAGATCTAATACTGGCCTCTGTCCCAAACCTTTCCTCAGCTCTGGGAAGATGTTATTTGACAGGACAAAGTAGGATCTGGCAAATTGCTGCATTTGAAAAGATGAAGAGGAAAACATTTCTGATTTCTCAGTGCAGCCCTCTTTGCTGCCTTTTTTCTTTTCTGCCTTTTTGCGAGGCTGGAAGACTAATGAAGGGAGTAGAGCAGGTAGACTGAAAATTATTAGCTGTTTTCAAGCTAAGATCTAATTGTGCTCTAAAAAGGAGTGTGTTTGAGAGTTACCAAATAAATTGTTTGAATTATCCCAAGACAGAGTTGCCTTTTTTTTTAAATTCTCTTCTCTGAAGTATTTCTAAGAACTGCCATCATTTAGTAAGAATTAAAAAAAAAAAACCTCAAAAATTAAAAATAAAAATACCGCCAAATTTCAGTACCTGTACTGATCACTGCTTTTATTGGCATCAGTGGGAGTTTCCCAAGTGCCTGGTGGAGCCAGGGTAGGACCTTTGATCTGTTTGCTCTTGGTATCAGTGTCCTCTGTCTCCCTCAAATCACAGTGATCTAAAAGTTAGAGGGGAACATGGGAAAAGACCAAGCAAGTGGTATTAAAGCTAGCCACAAATGTAGCACATTTTAATTCTTAGCAGCAGCCCCAGCACTGGAAAAGGGCTTTTGCAGGACCTCCTTCTCTACTAAGCAGCAGCTTTGTGGTTGCATGGTGAGGTGGGTGATGTGGAAATTGTTCTCCTCATAGCAGGGGTGGTGGCAGTTGTGCAGGATTTCTCAAAATAGGAAGGATGTCTTAAGCTAATTCAAACTTGCCTAATTTCCCCTTGTGTCCTCAATTCTGCATAGATGTTCAACCTACAGGCTCTATCCCAATTGCTTAATTAGCCCGGGTTTTGTGCCCAGCAGCATGCTCCATCGATCCTTGAGTGTGGTCCTGCTCTGTGCACACCCTGGACTATCCATGGTGACAGTCCATGCCTTGGGTTTTTCCACAATCTGCTTGATTCGTGAATTAAAGTGTAAAATACTATTACTGCAACCCCAGGATTTTGTTGGAGTCTCAAAAAAAGATTAAAAAAGGGCATGGGTGAAACACTTGTTTTCTTCTTGATTTTAGAACAAACTACAGAAAAAGAGAAAACACAATTAGCATGGTTTTTTAAAGCTGGCCTAGAGGTGAATAATAATTTAATAGCTTTTGTAAGATGTTAGATAGGTGTTTCAGTGGATGCTCTATCCCACATTGCCCTCTAGTGAGTACATGGCAGAGCAAACCGTGCCTTCCTGCAGCCACCAGGATATGAAATGAGGTATTTTAATAACTGAGGACAGGGCTGGTTTCTGACATAGTGGTTTTGAGATGCAGTAGTGTGAGGAGGGCAGTGTTCATCTGTCACCTGTGCCTGCACTGGCTAGTTTTCTCGATGTTTGATTTTTTCTGGGATAATTCTCTCTGCAAGCATCTCTCTGCTGCTGCTGGATCACCAGCCACAGGTCCCTGCTTTTGGAAAAGAGGAACATATTTCCTGTTTGCTTTTGCTGAAGGATCTTTTTCCATGTTCTTTGTCCTGGGCTTTGCTCTATGAAGCAAACACCAGTTCTGTGGTTTTCCCTGTACACACATGGTCAGACAGCTCAGTGGTTTGGAGATCATCTCAGGACAAACCTCCATCCGTGCTCAACCCAACACTGATGCATCCAAAGGTGTTGCCTAGAAGGTAGAACTGGCTGGCCCTCGTCCTTCTGCCTGAGTAGCTCCATTTGTCATTGCTCCAGCTGGTATGGGGCCCAGCATGGCCTTAAGTGCTTGACCATATTTACATAGAAATTAAATTACTGTTCAGTTTTCAAATTTGGTATTTGAATGCTGTCTCGTTCACCACAGCCATGGCAATCTCTGCTACATGCTGTCTCCTTCAACTCTGAAAACTTGACAGTCACAGAAGAGTTTGTCCTAAACTCTGTGGTTGTTGTCACACAGCCAGGGAAGGGGCACAGCCTGAGTGTGTGTGGCAGATCTGTGGGTGCTGGCAGTGCCCTGTGCCAGTGCCACCCTCCATGGGCTGTAGGACCCCGGGAACACCATCGTGTTTTGGGAACAAGGATGGGCAGCACTGTCACCCAGACGGCGCTTGGGGGCTGAATGACAAACACCGATGCCATCTAGTGACCACAAAAAATGTGGCACGGATATTTTACAAAATCCTGTTGGAAGCCACAAGTGGGGCTGGCCTTGGGGCTGGGAGGGGAGATGGGGCTGAGGTGTGCTGGGGGAAGAAATCCCTTTTTTTATACTCTCGCAGCCTGTCTCTTCCCTCATGTCACATCCCGTGAGATGCTTCTGCAGGTGAGCAGGGATGTCCCCTGTGAGGCTTTGGGCAAGGCACAGACTTGCTGAGCAGCCCTGCTGCTCGAGGAGCACAAATTCCCCAGTGCTGCTGGATCACGGAGCACAAACCCAGCACCCCAGGACAAGGTGACTGCAGGAGGGGAGATGGCTGGTCCTCCTGTGACACGGGACAGCACGGACAGAGACCCTGGGGATTAAGTTAATTAATTTAAGCTGACAGCATGGACTGAGTGGCCACTGCTGCAGCTTTGAGCTTGGCAGAGGCTGGGCAGGGGCTGGCAGCTCTGACAGCAGTGACCCCTCACTGCAGCTCATACAACCTGGCACTTCTTTTCCTCCCACCACCTTCCTTTGTCCGTCGTGTGCTCTAGGTGACAGCCTTGAAGGCTTAAATGCACTGGGTTTCTGTGAGCAGCTGGCTGGGGGCACCTCTGCGTTGTCCTTGGTTATTAATCCAGCCAGGTCCCAGTGCCAGCAGCCTGGAGGAATTAGTTTGCACCCTGCATTTTAAAAATGAAGGTGAAGTTGCTTCTGACCATACCAGTTTATTCTGCTTGGCTAAGCTGTTGTTGGCAGGTGTGGTTTGCCTTGCCTGCGGATGGGGCTCTCTGGGAATTTTTTTTTTTGCAGCTCTGATAATTTCTCCAGCTCCTGAGGAATGCATAGAGAGGGAGCCTGGGAATTAAAAAGTTTCCAGATAAGGAACTTGAGGGCTGAGATAGCTGTGATGAAGTGCATTATGAATGCACTGAGATGCCAGGCAACACCCCCAGAGAGATTAGGAGGGTGAGCAAAGCACCCAGATGCAAATAAACTCCTTCGTGGGCCATCTCTGAAGTGCAGTGACACCAAGACTGGCGCTGGCACGTCTCTGCTGAGGTGCTCCCCTCACCAGGCACACGGGTCCATCAGCAATACTTTCCTCCAGAGGGAACAAGCAGGCTCTTGCTCTGCTCCACACTGCTCAGTCTGCCCCTGCTCCCTCCAGAAAACCATTTACAAGGGTCCTTGGGGGACTTTTTGTTGTTTTTCCCAAATGTGAAAGTACCTAATATGTTCTTATTGTCTAATTTACAAATGTTTTGTGTCATCTTTGCTGCTTCTTTGTCTGGATTATCCTTGTGTCCCCCTGCCTTTCTGCCCTGGATAATTGAGAGCTGGCGCTGTGCCTGTAGCATTCCTGTTTCAGGGCCAAAATGGGAGTGAAAATAAATGCTTCTAAACACTGTATTGAAACAAATAAGTAATTTACTCATAATAGCTCTTCTCCTGGCGTTACACTGGCAATTTCATGCAGGTTTTTTAGAAGGAACAAGCAGTTGTGAGGGGCTGGAAGATCCACACAGCGTGAATATTTGTCATATGTGTCTGATGGGAAGAAGGGCTTCACAGATGTGGAAAAGTGCTCCTACTTCTGTAAAGGGACTTTATCCAGCAGTCTGTGACAACACTCATTTCATAGATTTGCTGTCCCTAATGACTGAAAATTCTGTCTACCAGGATTTTAGCTGGAGGTGGCAAAGACAGAGTTGCCCATGAGGGGGAGGCAGGGCTGCTTTACCTTGTGCTGTTGAGTAAGACATCTTTCAGAGCAGCCAGCCGACCAAAACACAGCATATGTCCACACTGTCTTCTCAGCTCAATAGAAATCCTTCAGCATTATCACACCTCCATCTGTTCATTTTCCTGGAGAGATATGGAAAAGCAAAACACATTTAGGGTGCTCTTTTGCTTGGAGCATTCAACACAGAGACTGTCCCTATCTATTTGGCATCACTAAGGTAATACCATCTCACAGCAGACAAGCAGAACAACTTGCAGTGAATAACCAGAGCCTGGTGCTAATCTTCTCTTTTCTCTCTCCTTGTAGGGATCCTGTTTACGATGCTGGTATTCGGGCCAGCCTGTGGATTTATCTTGGGCTCCTTCTGTACCAAAATCTATGTGGATGCTGTCTTCATTGACACAAGTAAGGAGAATCTGGGTTTGGTTTCAAATCAGATACACTAAATTTTTATCATCAGGACGAAAACGTTGATGCTCACAAGCAGGAGGAAACTGTCATTCCATCTTCAGTGCCTCTTTGAATGTATGAGTGTCACTTTTGGAAGGGTTTTAAGACTGGGATTCAAAAGGTTTCAGTTCTGTTCTGATAAATAATGGGTTTTTAATGGTAGGATTTGTTCCCTTCTGTGTTTTTTTCTATGAGATGAGTTTCATCCCAGCTCTTGAAGGACACCTTGAAATAGCACCATGGCATTGTCATGCCGGGGGAGCTGTGTCCAGAGCACAAAATCTGATCTCTCCAGAGCAGAAATCTGGAGAGCTGCCACCCCAGGGTGTGGGGGAACCAGCCAGGTTCTGATGGAGGCACACCAGGAAAATCCATGCCCAGCACCTTCTGCCAATCGTTGCCTTCTTGGATGTGCAGCATCAGTCCCACAGCATTATTGCTTTTCTCCAAAGCATTAAATAATTATTGCTCACCTTGACTTCACTCGGGTTAAAGCAGATTGTATGCAAATTGTCCTTTTGCAAATTGTCCTTTTGTTCGTAATTCTGCTTTTTTTGGTGGCTGCACTGTGTGTTCTTCGCCATGAGAGGGCAACATGTAACAGGCTGTTCTCTGCTGCTCCCTGGCCCTCTGCTACCCACGGCAAACCTGGTGCTTCATTCCTTCCTTCAATTGTTCAGACGCTTTTTCCACAGTTCTCAGCTCCATCGGATCCCACAGACCCTTATTCAGGGGTTTTTTCCCTTAAAGAAGGGTGTATTTCAGCCCTCATTTGGATGGAGCTGAACCTTGCAGGGCTCAGAACAGAATTGTGCAAATCTGCAAAAGTGTTACTGCCTTTTTTTGATCTCACATGCATGTGGCAGCTGAAGAAATGTAAATAATATCAAATGAGAAAGAAGTATCTTTTGGGATGGCTGAGGCATTTGGCTGCAGTTTGGTCAAACACCACATGGCCCTTTTTTTTCCTTGGCTTTACCAAAGCCTCGTTTGGCAGAGGAGCAGTTTGAAACCTGTTAGATATTTTACCATTCAGTATAATTCATACTAAAATATGAATGTACAGAAGAAAATATTTTATCTCCCAGCAGGTGAAGCTGTGGAACTCCTCACCATAAGGTGCTAAAAACCTCCAAATGGTTTTTAAAGCAATTGGACAAGTGTATATATGTGAAAAAAATGAACATGACACCAAATCTAGCTTAGGAAGCCCCCAAGCCATAAGAATAATACATGCTGCCTTTATTCTTGTAGGCTTTCTGGGCAGCTGCAGTTGGTTGCCATCAGAGGCAAGATGCTGACCTAGCTAAAAAATTAATTTGGTATCTTCTGGCCATTTTTAACATAAGACAGTGCTCAGTATTTGCAGCTCAAAAAGCCCCAGGCAAATACTGAGCCACAGAGAAGAACTGCAGAACATTACTGCTGAGCAGCCTGGCAGGGCTGGGCTCAGCCACTTTCCAGGGAGAGTGACGTGCTCCAAACTCCAGGTCCAGCTGGCTTTGGCCGTGGTCAGTCACTGTCGTGCAAAAGCTGAGGCACACATGGCCTCTGTTTATTTTTGTATGGGAAAGAATTTCCACTTTGCAGCTGGCTCTGCCTTGGAGCTCGAGGTGGCATAAGGAGAACAAGCTCCAAGGGGTTGAGCCTTGTTCTGGCCCTGTTTTGGGCAGGTGTGGGATGCCAGGCCATGCTGTGGCACTGCCCGCCACCCAGCAGCTATTTTAGGAAGGGAATATGAAGAAAACTCTGATTTGCCTGACTCTTCATGCTGTTGTGTTCCCAAGAACCTGAAAAAAAATACACTTCAGGCAGGAGGAAATAACAGCAGAAGAATCCAGTCCCTCCACAACACTATTTTTCAAACTTTATCTGTATTTGAGAGCTACGTGTTATTTTCCCTAAGGAGAAAAGAGTTTCCTTCTGTCTCTGCTTGAGAGACAACTTGATTGCCTCACTTGAGACAGATTTTTCAGAGTGGCAGTAACCAGACAGTCACCATGAGCAGAGGAGCTTGTTATTCCAGCCATGTGGAGCTGGGTCTCCCCCAAGAATCAGCTGCAGCACTGGGCACCCTTGTGGCTGTGGCAGCAAGGCAGCTGTTAGGAAAACAGTTTTTCCTCTCCTGCTGTTTATTTGTATTTCCTCACACTGACTCCAGACCCTTCTTGGGCCTTACCTCTGCTGAGTGATGGCATACAGAACACTCTAGCCTTTTATTTTGCTTTTCTTCCTTTTATGATTATTTCTGTACTTTTCTGAGTCCATTTGATGCTGTGGGTGGGTTTCTTTTCCAATATTTGGGACTGTTTCACCCTCCACACTGTCACATTTGCACTTAAGGCCCAAATGCCAATCTCTCTTTTGCTGAAAAGAAAATTCAAAGCAGAGGGAGCATTGAGCTCCTGGGAAAACAGGGTGGTAAGCAGGGTTGGAGGTGCAGTGTCCTTCTCTGTGCCAGTAGGTGTCAGGTGAGTGTGACACACTGGGACAGGGATGCCCAAAACCTCAGTGCCAGCACAGGGACACTGATGGCCAGCAGCTTCCTAGAGCTGGCAGAGCCAAAAACACCAGGGTGTTGCAGAAGCTGGGTGTACCATTTGGATAGAAGAGGTGACGGGAGCTGGTCCTAAGGATTTCTTGGATACAGAGGACACCGTGCACTGGTGGCTCACACAGTGCAGCTGTGGGGTGCCCTGTGGGCTCCCATCTTGGGCCTTATGACCCTCACCACCCAACAACCACCCTCCAGCCCACAGGATCCTTCACACCGTTGTCTTCCCCTCCCAATCACAGCAATCGAGTCCCCAGATGGGTAATAATTAGCACAGACTCCATGTATTACAGAAGGTCGATCAATAATAATCTTTATTAAGAAACCCATTGCTCTTTTATAGACAGTTACGATATAAGTGTACTTGAATTTACAGAAGAAAATATTTTATCTCCCAGTAGGTGAAGCTGTGGAACTCCTCACCATAAGGTGCTAAAAATCCCCAAATGGCTTTTAAAGCAATTGGACAATTGACGGTCTTTCAATTAAAACACCCTCACCACTGGCTAAATAGGAATCCACCTTTGGTAAACAAATCTCCATAACACATTCCACGTGTTCACAATGTCAGGTGTAGCAAGTGAGGATAAGAATTGTTTCTCTTTCTTTTCTCTTGATGTTCTCACAGCCTTCCCCAGCGCCATGCCTGGGGGAGTTGCTCTCTGTGACCAGCCAGGGTCACAGCTCCCCGTGACTCGTGTTTGCTCCCCCCACAGGCAAGCTGGACATAACCCCGGACGACCCTCGGTGGATCGGAGCGTGGTGGGGAGGCTTCCTGCTCTGTGGTGCCTTACTCTTCTTCTCGTCCCTGCCCATGTTCGGCTTCCCGCAGTCGCTGCCGCCGCGGCCGGAGCGCACCGGGGAGAGCGAGCAGGCCATGCTCCCCGACAGGGACTACGAGCGGCCCAAGCCCAGCAACGGGGTCCTGCGGCACCCGCTGGATGGGGACAGCAGCACCACCTGCTTCCAGCAGCTGCGAGGTGAGGCGCGCTCTGCCGCAGCTCCTCCGTGCCGCCAAAAGTCGCCCGAGAAATCGGTAGCCTCAAGTTTCAGTCCTTAGCTTCTGTTTGATTATCTCTGGCGTTGCCCGCGTCTGAAAGAGAGATTTTGTTCCACTTGAAAGCTTTGGTTGAGCTGGGAGTTGTTTAGCCTGGAGAAAAGGAGACTCAGGGGTGACCTTACCACTCTCTACAGCTCCCTGAAAGCTGGTTGTAGTCAGGTCTCTGTGTAGTTGGTCTCTTTCTCCAGGCAGCAACCAAGAGAACCAGAGGACACAGTCTGGAGCTGCACCAAGGGAAATATGGGTTGGATATTAGGAAAAAGCCTTTTACAGAAAGAGTGATGAATTTCTGGAATGGTGTGCCCGGGGTGGTGATGAAATCACCATCCCTGGATGTGTTCAAAAACAGGATGGATGTGGCACTGGGTGCCATGGTTTAATTGAGGTGTTGGGGCTGGGTTGGACTCAATGATCTTTAAGGTCTCTTCCAACCTGGTGATTATGTGAATTCTGTGAGAAATGCATGATAGTCCTATAGAGTTGTTAAAATCATGAAGGAGAGCACAGTTGCCAGAGCAATCTGTGAACTTGTCTCAAGTGTACTGTCCTGCTCCTGCCTTCCAAAACAGAGAACAAGCCAACAAGGGACTTAAAAGAAATTGGGAGCTCCCAGCACCTGAGCTTCAGCTTAGTGCAATCCCAGATACAAATGAGTGCTGGGCATCACCACAGCTCTTAAACTGAAATGGAAAGAGGGAGATACCAGCCCAGAACAGCAGCAAAATGGCAGGGCAGAGCATGATTTGTAGCAAATTAGAGAGAAAACCTCACATCATATCCTGCAGTGATGAAAATGGAGGTGACTCTAATTAAAGTCAGCTGAGGATCCAGCATTTTGTGGGAGAGTGTGGGCAAATATCCTTTGTCTAGGCTGTACTGGAAAATCCTTCATCTGAGAGGGTGTTTCTGTAGCACTGGTGGCTGCTTCCCACTCCCTGTTGCCGTGGCAGAGCAGGTTTCATTACTGCCTGATGCATTTAGATAAATGAGGACAAAATCACTTACTCCCTGTGCAGTCACCTTAATTGGGAGTTGAATGAAGTGCGGGTGGGAAGGAAAAAGAGACTTTGGGGGAAAAAGTGTTGTCTAAATATATAAAAATGCCTTGAATAGTAGATGCGGTTGTTCATTAAGGGAAGGTCAAAGATGTGAAATTTTGACTTGATGAGGAAATTCAGAAGAAAGGTAAAAAAATAAATCACTTGAAACTCAGTCAGTAAAATTCATTTCTTCATCCTTTCATCCTTGTTGCAAGGATTTTCTCTTGCATGGGCTTTTCCCGTTATATGTCCATATGGATAGTTCTGTGGCTTTTGTTGTGTACACATCAGAGTGTCTGCTTCTGGCCACTGAGCTTTTGGAGTGGGCACTGGAAATGTTTGCAGGTTTTCATATAGAAAAATGAAAGAATATTACGTATCCCTGCTGCATGGAGGGGCAGCAGTTCAGCCTGAGGATGGTGCTGAGCATCTTGTACACAGGGAGGCTGTGGGGGGTTCACTGAGCATCTGTTGCTCATTGAAGTAGAGAAATTAAACTGCCATATCCATATGCTTCAAGTATTGATTACATCAGGAGGCACCACAGGCCTCCACGTTAGCCCTCTCTCTGCAGGTAACCCCATTTTGGATCAGTCAGTATTCCAGGAGCCTCTTTGGAGGTGGACTTTGAAATAAAATTTACATGACATCAAATGAGATGAGGAATGACCTTTTTAGTTATTCCTTTGAGGCTGTCACAGATGACACGGTGTTGGTAGCTGACATCCCCTTTCAGATCCCTTGCCATTGTTGTCATAGCCAGAATGTGGTCAAGAGTCGTGTTGCTGAAGTGAGGCAAACACACCTCATCATTCCTGATGAGCAGTGTTTCAGGTGATGGTTTAATCTTTCTGTGGGTCTACATTACTTTGGTAGCTGCTGAAATATCTGCAGGCATTCCTTTGTGGCAGATTTTAGTCTCCCTGATCTATTTGTTGATTCTCCTTTGGAGAAAGTTAAGACTGTTTAGGCTTTTTCCTAGGGTAAAAAAGGCTCTTAGTTATATACAGAGGTTAAAAATATGTATGTGCATGCATAGTCATGTCTTCTGTCCTGATATGTCCTTGGATTTTGCATGAATTTGTGATGCTGAACAGAATCCATGGAGTCATAAAACAGCATGAGTTGGAAGGGACCTTAAAGATCATCCAGTTCCAACCCCCTGCCATGAGACACCTTTCACTAGGCCAGCTTGTTCAGAGCTCCATCTATTCTGGCCCTGAACACTTCCAGGGATGGGACAAGCACAGCTTCTCTGGGAAGCAGCAGAGGATTTGCCTGTACAAGGGGTTGGGACTGGAGATACTCCTTGGTGTTTGTATGGCCGTGAATCTGACTCATTTTTAGCAAGCTTTGTCTCTGCAACTTGTCCTGGACAGAGCTGTTCCTGCTGTAAGTCTGTGTCTGCATGGAGGTGTGGATTGTCCATCTCCTGTGCAAGTGTGGGGAGGAAGAGCTGTTTCTCTGGATTGATTATGCAAACACCCTCTGTATCAACAGCACGTCCTCAGAGGATGCACTGCATCTCCTTTTTGGCTACTGAAGGAGCTTTATTATTTTTTCTTACTTTTTTTTCCAAGCCTTACATGACTGCCACAAGAGAAAGGTCATGGTAGGAGAGGGAGCAGGGCAATGTCAGCTGGGGACGTGCTCTGAGCTGGGTCATGGCTGTCAGCTAGAGACGTGGCACGGCTGGCAGGTGGGAGGATGCTCCAGACACCACAAGATCTGCTGAAAGTCAGTGAGATGGAGGGCTGGCTGACATTCCTTGCCTTTCCTCCAGCCTTAGCATGCAAAAAAAGCCACGACTAATATAAAAGGAGTATCTTTTACATCTCTGTCAAAGTCTAAGCAGAAGGGAGGGCCCAGCTTTTGGGAAGCCCTGGCATCTCTTCCTGTGGGGTATTTTCATGCCAGGAAAGAAGCAGTCTTAAGAGGAGCTCTAAACTTGAAATGGAAGTGGTGCCTTTGAACAGCACGAGGTGAAGAGGCAATCAAAGGCAGTGGAGGCAGCGGGGGGCTCAGCACAGGGTACAGCAGCTCAGGCAGGGAAGCTCTGGGACAGTCCTGGGAGCTGCTTCCCGTGGCTAAACTGGCACGTGGAATGCTGCTCCGCTTTGCCTGATTAGTATTTCATTTCAGGAAATCAAATCCATTTGGGAGCACGGAGAAGTGAAGGATTAACAGCAGTGGAAGTCTGAATAAACGCTGCCATTGCTCTTTGCTCCCGCCTGGCAGGGTTGTTCCAGCCCTGTGCTCTCTGTGTGGTCTGTGAGAGCACTTCAGGCATGGGCTGGGCAGTCCCTGCTCTTCTGGGGGGCACAGCTTTGCTTTCCTACCTCTGCTGTGCCTTGGGGACCTCTCTGCTCCTCACGTGTGGTCTGTGAGAGCACTTCAGGCACGGGCTGGGCAGTCCCTGCTCTTCTGGGGGCACTGCTTTGCTTTCCTACCTCTGCTGTGCCTTGGGGACCTCTCTGCTCCTCAGGCCAGAGAAGATGCTCAGCTCTGTCAGGGCACCTGTGCCCTCTGCTCGAGTCTCTCCACATCTGCCCTCTCGCTCGCTGCCTCTGACACACCACCTGCTCTGGGACGTGCCTGGAAACAATTCGTTAAAACCCTTCCTTTTTTTCACACAGAAATGTCACATCTATTGAATTGAGCGGCCAGTTCTGATGAAATTTGATTTCAGAATGCTTCCTCCGCGTGATCTTTAGCACCTCTGAAACATTCTGCCCTAAATGCATTCTGTTTAGCAATGATTTAAACCAGAAATTCGTTACGTTCTGCTGCTCTGTCTAGCAAGAGAGATTAAAACCCTAAAAGGATTTAAATTGATATGGAATCCTCCAGGTTTGGAAAGAGAAGCTCATTCACAAGGAATTAAAAGAAAACTCGCTGTGGAATTAAATGAATTTCAGAACTGCAAATTCCCTAGATTTGGAAACATTTTGGTTTCTTTCCAGCTTCATTTTCAAGAGCGTAGGAGAGCTGGGACGTACAGCTGGCAGCTGCCTTGTCTTCTGTTCAGTTCTGTCCTGCTCCATGTACCAATGTGCTGAATACCAAGGGAGGGAGCTGCTCTGAATCTGGGATTTCTCTCCCAAAAAGCGCTCACTGGGAGCATAGTGCTGGGCCAGAAGCTCCCAGCTGTGCAGGGAGGACCTGGACCATGGGGAGCCTGTAATCCTCAGTGGGAGTTCATAGGATTGGGCAGGATTAAAGGCTAACAAGAGTAGTTTTTTTACTCCTGAGTTCTCATGACTGATAGTGACAAGCTTTTAGAGAGGGCTCTGTCTATAGCTTCATTCAGAGCCACAGCAGTGAGGCTTTGGCCCAGGTTTAGACTTTAATGCCTTTTTGGATTTGGGTCTTGTTCCCTGCAAACGCCTTAAAGGCTTGCTGAGAAATCCAAGTCTTAGGTGAGGAGGTGGTGATCATAAAAGGCATCAGGTTCCATGGGTCTTTGAGTTTTCTCTGGCTTGTGTTTCATGAGGGTGCAGATATTGTTGTCAGGTTTATCTTGGCTGTTTCCAAGCCAGTGTCTTGTTGTCAGCACCATAAAAAAATTCAGAAAGGCCTTCAGCCTGCACACCTCAGGGCCAAAGCTGAGCAGCAGCTGAAGGCAGGCAGAGCCTGTCTCCAAAAAATGCTTTTCCATGACTTCTGTGTCACAGGTGAGGGAGATTTGTGTCCCCTTCTCAAGTCAAGTAAAGGTGGTTCCTGCAGGGAAGATGATGGACTGGAAGGACCCATTTTCCATGCTTGAGTATGTAACTGCTGCTTCGAGCTTGCATCTTGTCAGGAAGGCTTTTTTGATTTATGTGTCATGCTTTTCCCTCATATCCATTATGATATGGCCACATGGAACCTCTCCTGAGATATCTTCAGCACCTCTTGCCTTACTCCATATTCTCTTTCACAGGAGCTACCTCTTTCCAGTATATGTTCTTTTCTTGCTGCCTGTGCTGTTTTCTTCATCCATTTTTCCTCAAGCCAGGTGGAGATTTTGCCTTTTGTTTTCTCTTCAGACGTGAGGCTTGCTGCTGACATGGGTAGAAGAAAGTCATATTTTGGCTCAATTTTGCCTTTCCCTCACCACTCTGTCCTAGGTGGACTGGGCTGTAAACCTCCCTCTAATTTATTACTTTGCTTTCTGTGTTCTTCATCTTTACTGCAAATTGAAAACATGTCTCTGTAGGGTGCTCCAACCAGAAACAGGGGCCTTGGTGATTGTAATGTTCCAAACAATTCATTTCAAGCACCAACGTGATGATTATAGTTTGTCGTTTCTGGAGAGTAGTTAAACCTCGTGTAATGAGGTTGCCAATTATCCCCGCTACTCCCCGATGTGCAGTGACAAATCAAAGCTACTTGGTGTACATAAGTGTGTGCATTTGTCAAGCCCCTGGCCTGTCATCCAGAGAGGCCCCATGGAGGGAGACAGGGAGGGGGTTTGGATGCCTTGGCATGGGTGTTGTTTGAGTGTGAAAAGGTGGGAAATCAAGGGGTTGGTGGGGATATTGGAGAGCTTTGGGACATCCACCCTGTCCCTCCCAGCCTGTGGATGAGCCTGTGACCGGCGCTGCACATGGATGGTCTGAAGAGTTGGCATTAAAGTACTTTTCACTACTTTTCAGCAGTGAAAGGAGGCGGGAATCGCTTTCCTGCCGCCGTTTCTGGAGCGTGTCGGGTGCGTCAGGATGAGGATGGCAAATGAGCTCGTCTTTCTGGGAGTGGGAGGCTGAGTCTGCCTGTGTGCCGTGTCTGCTGCAGCTTGTGGGCTCTCCAAGTAGATTTTTGAGACTCTTTGGACTCCAAAAGACTTTTTCCCACTTTGTGAAAGGTCTTCCTTTGAGCTTTGTAGCAGCAAAGGCCTGCTCCAAAGTGTTCAGATAATCTTTGGGCCCCTAAAGGTGCAGGGTAACATTTACCATGACTCCTGCTGGGTTGGTTCCAGTGGAGAAACACCATCCGTAGCTGTTGTGTTCCCCAGAGCTTCACTGCCCCCCATCAGGTATTTCCATTCCTACTCCATACCCAGGACCATATGCCAAGCAGCTGAAAGCGTGTCACTCTAGTCCATTGAGAGATTTTTAAACTTTGCTGCTGACTTTTTACCTTTTTCCCAGAGGTATTTCACCCCAAGAACTGAGACAGATGAGGCAGCAGCCGGTGTCAAATGATTGATCTTAGCAAATGGCAGTAGCAAGATGAAAGGATAATCAATTCTGTAGGGAGCCCTGTGTTATTTCCCTTAGAAGATGAAGGAGAATGAGCTGACCCTGGCTGAGGAGATGGTGGAGGCTGCCAGATTCTGCTTGAGTTGTCTGTGCACTCCTTGCACTGGGTCTTGTGTCCCACCTGGTACAGAGTCCTGTTGCAGTAGACAGTGGTCAGACATTCAGCAGAGAATAGGATCTGTCCCAGAAAACTCAGAGGAGGGACAAGCAATGATCATGGAATCAAGGAATCACAGAAGGATTTGGGTCGGAAAGGACCTTAAAGATCATCTTGTTCCAGACACCTCGCCATGGACAGGGACACCTTCCACTAGACCAGGTTGCTCAAAGCTTCATCCAGCCTGGCCTTGAACACTTCCAGTGGCAAACACAGCTTCTGTGGGCAACCTGTTCCAGTGTTTCATACCCTCACAGTAAAGAATTTCTTCCTTATATCTAATGCAATCCCTCCCTCTTTCAGTTTAAAGCCATTTCTTGTTGTCCTGTCACTACACACCCTTGTCAAAAGTCCTTCTCCAGCTCTCCTGTAGTCCCTTTAGGGGATGAAGTGCTGTGACTTGGAGCCCTGCACTGCCAGACAAGGCACTTACGAGGGGTTTCTTTCCCGTGTGAGATGCTGCAGTAACTCTGCAAATCTTTTATTGTCCATCCCAAGCACAGAAGATGGATTTTGACCTTGGTAGTGCATGATGGTTGGGTGCCAACTTCAGAAATAAATGTCCGTGATCTTTAGCTCCCTCCTGCAAAAGGCAGGCTGTCATCGCTATTGTTTGTTGGATAAAGTTAGAGCTAGACCTTAGTGTCTTTGGATTTAAATTGGCACAAAGCTACATCTCAAGGAATCCATTAATCTTGAACAAATTGAACTCCCGAGGCACAACAGTCATTAATACCTTAAATATGGCTTTTCAAGCTCAGTACTGCCAAGTCCACCTTTTCATTTTCTATATTTTTCCTGGCAAGAAGGGGAAATTCTGTAGGTGGCCACCAAAGAACTGAAGGAAGCAGCAGGTGGCTTCTGAAATTTATCCATGTCTGAATTCCCCCATCCCCATTCCTCCCACACAGTATTTTTCCCCCTTTTTTCTTTTCTTTTTTCACCCGTTCTGCTAAAAATTGCTATGCCTCTTGCACCTTAATTATGTTCAGTAAATCTTTAGGAAGCAGAAAATTTGTACAGCTTGGAAAAATGTTTCTGATATAGAGACCAGAAACTGTGAAGTGACCTCTTCCAAAAAGGTTAGATCGATCCTAATTATAACCCTTTTTTCCACTGTCCCCAAGAAAGAGCCAAGGGCACCCAAGCAGAGCCTTGACAAAGAGCTGTGCATTCTCTGCTGAGGCCAGTGCAAAAAAATTCCCTGAGGGAAAACAGAAGCCAGAACCAGAGAAACATCATCTGCCAGCCCCTGGTACACCACAGGGAATCTGGGGGATGGATTTTCAAAATGCAAATAGGGGTCCATTGAGGCTTCACTACACTACTTCAAGGTAATTTTCAAACTTAATGATTTTCACATTTAATTCAGGGAGAAATTAGTCATCAGGTATTGAGACAAAGCGAGGCTCTCTTCTGTACTGGGATGCTCTCCTCTTCAAGCTGTGTTATCTGTACAATAATTAAAATGCTTGCTGGAGTAGAAAACGTGCAATCTGATTCATTAGACAGATTTCCCTTTGTAGGGTAACTCTTGTTTGCTTATGGGAAATTGAGATGGGTTTGGAGGAGAGAGGACTCTAGACACTGATGATTTGGAAGGGGAGACCAAGGAGCCATGAAACCAGAGCCACATGTGTGTCCTACACAGTGAACAGCTCATCATGTCCTCTTCCACCTTCTTAAGGATTGGAGGGTTGGCTGGAGAAGCTTTAGGAACACACAGACTGACAAGCCTGTCCCAGCAGGAGGACCCTTGTGCCGTGGGTATCCATGGGCCAGGCTAAGCCTGAGAGTTGCAGCTTGCTGAAAACACCCACATGTGCTGCAAGAAGGTGACCATCAGTGAGCGAGCCAGTTTGGAATAGGAAAATGAATCAGATCTGGATGGCAGGAGAAGGAAAAGCTAGATGTGAGCTGGGTTGGTTTGTGTCTGAAAACTTGCAAGGATTTATGCTGAATACAGCACTGATGGCACCTGTCAGCTGGCTCAGCTTTGTTCATGGGGAGCAGGTACAGAAAGGAGAAGGGGAAGAAAGAGCACGCCAGGTTTTGATTGACTTCCCTATGGGGGAAACAAAAAGCAATATTGAAAATTTTTCTCATTCTTTCAATTTTCAAAATCATCTGTAAGAGTAAATAATCATAGATTATTTCTTTTTGCACTCTCTTGATTCTTGAATTTTTAAGTGGCACTGTTTGGGTGTTTCACTTTGTTCTGGTGTTCCCACATTTCAAGCAGCTTGTCTGTGCAGAGCAGGAAATTACTCCTGATGTGAAGTGAGCGTACCCTTCAGAATGGGAGAAAGGCACCTCCAGCACCTCAAGTAAAGTCTACACAAAAACACCTCTCCGTTTTTCCTCTCTTCTAGTGATCCCCAAAGTGACTAAGCACCTGCTCTCCAACCCCGTGTTCACCTGCATCATCCTGGCAGCCTGCATGGAGATCGCGGTGGTGGCCGGGTTCGCCGCCTTCCTGGGCAAGTACTTGGAGCAGCAGTTCAACCTCACCACCTCCTCTGCCAACCAGCTCCTGGGTGAGTAACCAGGGGACACCAGAGCTCCAAAGGAGGTTCAGCATGGCTGGTAACTGCTGCCAGCCTCGCTGGTTAGGCTGCCCAAAAAGAGACTTGTCTGAGATGTGGAAATGTGTCTGTGAGTGATGGGGTTGGCCTTCAGCTCTGCCAGGGCTGCCTGGCCCAGAGCAGACCTCCAGCATCCTTTCTCCACTGCATCCTGCTGCCATCACTTCCCCTGTGGCCCAGCCTGTTGGGTGGGAAGCGGTATGGGACAGCCAGGATAGGAGAGAGAGCCTTGGAAGCAGCAGAAATGGGCTGTCTGGTTGCCCAAGACTGCAGTTGCTGCCCAAGTGATAGCGTGGCCCACTGAACTGCTTGTCTCATGGTTCTGGTTCCCCACAGTTCTGCTGCCCATCTCATTCTGGGTTAGGAAGCCCAGTGTCTCCAGTTAGACACTGCTTTCCCCTTGGCCTGGAAATGACAGGATTGCAATGACCACTTCAGGTACCTGAGTTAGTGCAGCTTGGTCGTCTTTCAAATGTCCCTTCTCTCTGACCACTCCATGCTGCTGTGATTTCACGTTCCACATTTCTCAGTGTTCATTTGTTCCCTGTCAGGACACTGATGGCAGAATATTCATTTATTTTCTGCTCCTGCTCATCCCAGGCAGGCCCAGCCATTTGTTTATGACAGCCCTTCTCTCAGCAGCACCCAATTAAGATATCTGCAAGTTGATCTTGGATGATCTGCAACCACAGCTTGCCAGATGGGCAGCTGGCAGTGATCTGTCAAAAACTGGGACATCAGGAAATGGGTGGATCTTCATATCATAACAAGGAGTTTGCAAGCTGCTCTCCTGACAGTTGTTTATTTCCCTATTAAACTCATTGATGTCTTCTGGTTTTGGCCTGCTTTTCCAAAAGAAACAATCCCCTGCAGTCAGCCTTGCCTCCCCCAGCAACCCAGGAATTTGCTAGTGAATTTTAATATGGTTTGACAGAAGGCCAGAGGTCTCAAAGTTGTTAGGCAATTCCATCTTTCCTGAAAATTAAAGGCTTGGCAAAGGAAAGCAACTTCTCTGTTGACCCAGTGGGAGAAGGGAAAAAGCTGTTTGGTGGGAGCTGGCTGGGCAGTCAGTCAGCATGTGAGTGCAGCTGGGTGGCCAGCAAAGAGGGGATCACCCATGAGCAGAGCACATCCTGCTTCTGACCCGACAGTGGGAAAAGAGACTTGGATACCTCTGTGTTTCTCACAGCAACTTGTTTAAACAAAATTGTAATCAGATTTCTCACATGGCGTTTAAGGGAGTCTGGAAATGCCAGGACTGGGATTCTCTCCTAAGCACAGTTCAGGCAGTGAGATCTGGCAGCAATGGGATAAAAGCGATCCCAAACACGCATAGTGTGGTAATTTCTGTCTGTGCTGGAAAGGGAGTCACTTCTGGCAGTGATTTTTGCATTTCACAGTTAAAGAAAATTATTTTAGGGAGATTTCATATTTTCAAATGCTGCTCCTGCCTAGTCTCTGAAGATCATACTCCTGTGAGTCACACCAGCAGGGTTCATCCAAAGCCTCCAGACACCTCGGAAAACTCTTGACTTTATTTGCTGCTGCTTAGGTCAGGCTGGGCCAAGCTCAGCAAGTCTGGCATTCCCTCCAGCCTGGATGAGAACTGGCAGAAGAGCCTGGTTTCTCCATGCAAGACAGCATGCCTGTTTGCATCTGTTCCTTTTTTTGAGCAACCCCAGCTTGGTGCTCCTCCAGCAGTTGGGCATTGCAAGGTTTCCTGATGCCAGTGCACAGCTCTGGCTGCTGGAGAGCTCAGCCCTGTCACAGTGTCATTCAGTGGCCCTTGCTAACTGCTTTTTCCTCTTGCAGGGATGACAGCAATCCCGTGTGCATGTCTGGGCATATTCCTGGGGGGCCTCTTGGTGAAGAAGCTGAGCCTGTCTGCTCTGGGAGCCATCAGGATGGCCATGCTGGTGAACCTGGTGTCCACAGCTTGCTACGTGTCCTTCCTGTTCCTGGGCTGTGACACAGGACCTGTGGCAGGGGTTACTGTTCCCTATGGAAACAAGTGAGTCCACAGAGAGTTTCAGGGAGCTTTACCAACATAAATCCATGTTAGTGTCCTCAACAGGCAGTGCTGGCCTCCAGACAGCCATAGAGCAAGCACAGAGAAGGCAGTGTTTTCTGGGCTTAGTCTGGGATGTTTCCATGCCACTTACCACTGAGAGACCTGAGCACCTGCAGATGACAAGAGGCACCTCTGTAGCATTGGGTCTGCTTTGTCCTGGCATTTTCACTAAAATCTGAAATTCAGTCAAACTGAATAAAAGGTGCCAGACCTGAGTCTGTACCCACAGGCACGTCTGTAGCATTGGGTCTGCTTTGTCCTGGCAGTGAGGAACATGCACTGCTCTGTACATTGATTTAAGTGTCTGAGGGGAATCTGTAGAACCAGGTTTTAGATGTCTAGAAATACAGATATGGTGAAGAGTGTTTTTGGTTGCAGGCTCATTTCAATGTGAGAAGTGAGGCCCACATAACCCTGTTTGTCCTGCACTCACAGGACTTGGAGAGAGTTATCTGGTATTTTCTTCCTGAGTGCTCCTGTATGCAGTGGCAGCTCTTTAGATGACAACATCAGCCTGTCAGCTCCTTACAGCGTTGCAGAAAAACACAGAGGAATCTCCACAGCATCTCTTTGTTTTTCCTTGAGGCTTCTTGTTGAGGTAACAGGGCAGCCCAAGCCTTGCATTAGATTCTCTTTTTCAGGGAGATAGTGGCCTTGGCATTTCAGTCTCCAAGGAGAGGCTGCAGCCTGGATTTCTTAGAGCTGGAACCCAGCTAGCCTTCCCACTGCTTTTTTTAGTGTGTTTGCCTTAACTATCCCCCTCAAAGGCATCTTTGTGATGCAACAGTTGGAAAAACTGGCTGATACCACACTGTCCATTAACTTATTTCTCTCTTTGTCTTACAGCTCAACTCCAACCTCATCTCTGGACCCATATTCCCCGTGCAATAACAACTGTGAATGCCAAACTGACTCCTTCACTCCAGTGTGTGGGGCAGACGGGGTCACATACTTATCTGCCTGCTTTGCTGGCTGCAGCAGCACGGTGAGTGGCCTTTCCTGGGGACCTGTCACCTGTAGGAACAGTTCTGGGAGCTCCAGTGAGTGAGGTTCCTGCCTGTTTGGTAGGGCAGCTCGCCTGCAGCCAGTGGCTGCACCCCCAAAAGCTGACCTCACAGCTCTGGTGGGCCTGAGCCCCTGTGGTTTTTCACTCTGTTCCATAAATGCCCACTCTCAGCAGCAGCAGCTGCCAGGGTAACTCACGGAGCAGGGATTTCACAGCCTCCTGACCTGGTCTTCCTCCTCAGCAGGGAAGCAAGGAATGTTATAGGAGATCTGCACAGGTGTCCCATGGCAGAACACATCCTCTGCAAGAGATCCCTAGCCCAGAAGGGAGAGCTGAGGAACCTGCTTCCCTTTTATCCTCATCTCCCCTCTTCTCCACCTGCCCATGTTTGCCCTGCCCAAGCCCTTTAGTCTTTTTTTTTCCTCTTTCCCTGAATCTGGTTCCTTGACAGTTGTGAGCAGTTCCTGGTTTTATTCACCCTTGTTTAAGCTTTCCTTTAACTCCCCTTGCTTATTTCTCTTTCCTTGCTTTGCTCTGAGGCAGCAGCAAGAGCAGTTGTCAGGGGAGCAGAGTTTCCATCCAAAGACATTCTGCATTTTTCAGTTCTGAGTTTTTTCCCTTAGAAAACCCATAAAGACCAAACTATCTCTATATAAAGTATATGTGGAGAATTTTTAACAATATCTTAAAAGCCAGCTTTTTCATTTTTTGCCGCTGAAATGTTAATGTCTTCTGGGTTATACTAAAAATGAGTGCCTGCTGCTCCTGTGGGTGGGGACTGGTGGGATTCCTGCATCCTTGCTCGCTGCCTGGGGCTGTGCCAGTGGAGCCTGTGGGAGGTCAGCCTGGTCACAGGCACTGTTGTGCCTGCACATCAGTGCTCACCACATGCAATTATCCCTCCATGGCTTCATCTCTCCTCTTTGAGGAGATACCAAACCTCCCTTTCTGCCCAGAGACAAAGCACAGGTGAGTGCTGCTGGGCAGCGACTTGCAGCTGGCAGTGCAGCCTCCCCACCCAGATCACCTGTGAGCTTGTCCTGCTTAAATCCTGTCTCCTCCACTCCCTCTCCAGCCCCAGAGATGCAGGCATCCCTTTGAAACACCACAGTTTGAGCTTTCAGCAGCCCTGCAAGGATCTGCATCAACGTGTGACACGTGAAGGTGTTACCTCCTGCCCTCTTCTTCCTCTTCCTCCCAATAAGTCAACACCTGAGATGGCAGCAGGATGATTTTAAGAAGAAACCAGCTTGTTTCAGGCACACAGAGTTGTGTCTCACCAGTTCACCAAGCCTTCAGCAGGTGTTCAGCTGGTGCTGGTGTGTGGCTGGAGCGTGGGAGAGATCTGCTCGCTGTGCTGTGCAGTGCAGGGCAAAGCTCTGACTCCTCTGGAAGGAGCATGGTAATGAAAATTCAGCTCTGCCCCTTCAGTCTGCAGCTGCCTGACCTTGTGCTCTGCAAGAACAAACCTCTCAGCAAAAAACTCGCTCTCCCTCATGCTTTCTCTTACTCACTCCCTCTTATTTTGCCTTTTTGTTGTCATCCTTGGGGTTCTTCTCATCTCTTTGTTTTGTGGGGGTTTTTTGCAGTAACATTTTGAACACAAATTGGTGAAGCAATAGCATCTGCTGGGAAGGGCATTATCAAGAATTATGGACCAGTTTGGCCATGCAATGGCCTTGAGGCAAAGCCAAATTGCCAAACCAAGTTTTAAACCCATAATCCAGGTAATGACCTGTCTGGAGGGTCTTGTGAATGTTATGTGCTTGTGATGAGGCAAGGGTTGCTTTTTACTGGGACATAAAATTCTCTGAATGCTTTATTTAACTTTACTACATGTTACGTTTCTGACTGCTTCTCTTCACTTTTCCTCTGTGAACAATTTCTAAAAGCAATGTGTAGCTCAGTTATTTTTTTCTTTTTCATTCCTTCTCTCTTGCTGAGCTGATTCCAGAAGTGCACTTGTTCAAAAAGCCATAGGAATATCAGTGCTGGTGGGCAGAGCTCTGGCACCCCTGAGAACTTTTCTTTCAAGCCATTCCTGGGAGTGACCCTTGCACACCACGTGTTGGACTGTGCATCTTGTTTGTTTGAAGCCATTGACTCTCAGCATTTTGGCTGGAGACACATGAATTCCAGCCTGGAGTTACTGTGCTGGCACCTCACAGCTTTGCACTGAAATACCAGCCTGTCCCTTCCCTATCAGAGCCAGAGCTTAAATAATGAGTAATTAAAAACATGGATAATTTGCATGGATAATCACACCAAAGTCAGGATGCTGGTAAAGGTGTAAACTCTGTATCTGTGTAGCCTCAGAGGCACACATAAATCTGAGTGTGCAGGTTGCTGGGCAGCAGAAGGTTCTGATAACAAGTGGTTGAATGCAGTGGGGTTGCAGACAAGGGGATCTACAGAAGTTTGGCACAGGTAGCAAAAAATTTCCTCTCCACAGGACAAAGTTATAACTCCATCTTTGATGTTTCCTTGTTTGATGTCTGTGAGTTGCATACTGTGTCAGTAATAAAAGATCAAAGATCTCCCAGGTAAGGATGAGGAGCAGTGCTAAGCAAGCTGAGGTAGTTGGTACAAACCACTCACACTTCTTCAGGCCAGGACCTTGAAGTAAAATGGTCAGAAAAGCAGGTTGAGGGACAAATTTTCAGGCAGTGAAGGTAAGATCTGCCTTGTGCTTTGTAAAAAAATCCCAACAGTGGCAGGACAGTCTGCCCCACCACTGTCTGGAACAGGTACTTTCTGTCCCTTGATGAGAGCCCATGGGAAATAAACACCAAATTCTGTGATGGGAATTTTGTCCAAGGGTTATTCAGTGCAGGTATATACTTTTCCAAACTTACATGGGTTTTGATCCACAGGGCCTTGTCCAGTCTGCTGGGTAGCAGTACACTGCATTAAGAGCCAGGAGCTACAAATTCCTGTTGTCTGTGCAAACACCACCTCAGTGGTGCTAATTGTCACCATTCTGGAGCCTTCAGGTGTCAGCTTCTAACTCACAGCACAGGAATTTGTTATTTTAATTACTGCTTGCCAGCAGAAAGGCACCTGCATGTCAGCTCCAGCTCTCCTAGAGTTCTGCACAACAGTCTCCCTTGTCCTCTGTGCACTTAATTGGAAAAAAATGATTTGACTTCTGTGCAGAGGAAAGAGATTGGTGTCAGAAAGGTTGGAGTAGTATCCCTGCTGATCCTTATCTTTGGAGGCAGTGAACCAGAAAGTGTGCTTTTGTATGGTCCTAAGGGGACCCCTTTGGCAGAAAAGCAAAGGAATTTCTGCTTGCACATGGTAGAGGAGAAGGGGAGGAGATTGAGCTGCTTTTCAATATGTTATATTTTATGACGTTACTCCTCGTAGAAACATGTGACCTGCAAACCCAGCGGGCTTGTGAAGACAAGCCATGAATCATTAATGACTGTTTCTTTCTGTATTCGTTAAGGGATTTCTTGGTAGTATTGTGTGCCTTAATTGCACTGACATCCCCCACTCAGAAATTCAGGAGGGCGAATTGGAAAATAAGGGGAAAAAAAAATCCTTAAATCTGTGACTGGCAAACAAAGCTTCTTTTCACATCCTGCACTTGCTGGAGAGATCAAAGCAAAATGCAGTCATTCCACCCTCCTTCTGATCACATATTGATAAAGTTTATCTTGCTTGACTTGAGCTTTTAGCTCAACACAAATCCATCTGAACCAGATGTCATTTATTAGCCTGGAGTGCACTGAAGTCCAGCAGCATCTGTGCTGCCAGGCTGTGGTGGTTCAGCTCTGGGTGAGCTGCAGCACCCATCGTGGGTGGCTCCTGCCCAGGGTTTGAGGTGCTGGAAGCAGTCCCCGAACCTGCAGCCAAGAACAGGGCTGCACATTTACCTGCATTTAATGTACTTCAGTTTAATTGCAACAGCCGAGAGGACGGAGGTAAATAAGAAAGTAATTAGAACCATAATGGGGGGAATCTTCCTTGTCACAGAGACACAGATTGTTTCTTTATTCTCCTCCAAAGAGGTAGAACTCAGTAATAATTTTGTCGCTGTGACATTTATGGGAGAGACTTAAAAGGAGCAGAAGAAAAGAAACAAGCCAAGGGACAGCTTTCCCTTGCTGGCAGCATGCGTCAGCTCTGACACTCCTGAAATTCTTCCCAAACCCCCCTCCAACAAGCACTTAGGAGTTACTTAATTGACCATTAGAGGATTAGGCATTGCTGCTGACAAGCCCTGTTGCAGAGGGCAGCGGTGGGGATCAGAGCTCTCCCTTCTCCTGACTCCTTGTGCTCCTCTGCAGAACCTCAGTGGCTGTTCGTGCCTCACCTCGGTCCCTCCCGAAAACGCCACCGTCGTTCCTGGCAAATGCCCCAGCCCTGGGTGCGAAGAGGCCTTCCTGACATTCCTGTGTGTGATGTGTGTCTGCAGCATGATCGGGGCCATGGCGCAGACACCGTCCGTCATCATCCTCATCAGGTACAGCTGCGGTCACTGTCCTTCTCAGATGGGGCTTTGGTCATTATCCTCCTCAGGTGGGGCTTTGGTCACCCTCCTCATCAGGTGGGGCCTCTGTCACCATCCTCATCAGGTGGGATTTCAGTCATCCGGGGCTTTGGTCACCCTCCTGGTCAGGTGGGGCCTCTGTCACCATCCTTATCAGGTGGGATTTCAGTCATCATTCTCATCAAGATGGGCTATCCATCACCTCCTCATCAGGTGGGATTTCAGTCATCATTCTCATCAAGATGGGCTATCCATCACCATCCTCATCAGGTGAAGCCGTGGTCACCATCCTCATCATGTGGGGCTTCTGTCACCCTCCTCATCAGGTGGGGCTTTGGTCATTATCCTCATCAGGTACGGCTTTGGTCACACTCCTCATCAGGTGGGGCCTCTGTCACCACTCTTATCAGGTGGGCTATCAGTCATCATTCTCACCAAGCAGGACCACCAGTCACCATCCTCATCAGGTGGGGCTGCTCTTGGCATGGATTCAGGGCTGGAGGGACCCTAGGGCACAGGGGGGAGTTGAGGGCCCCACACAGGTCCTGTCCTCTGCCTTTTATACCAGACTCGCTGTCCCCAGGCCCATGACTTGGAACTGAACCTCCGTTGAAGCAATTTTCTCTCTAAACCACTTTTTTTCACTTGTTAGTGGCTGGTTTAGCCAGGCATGGCTCCAGTTCAGGGCCTGCAGTATGGAGCTGCTGGAGAGAAAACAGGAGCTGCTGGAGCTGTCCTTTGGTGGAGGCAGTGAGGGGGAACTGGACACCCAAACAGACAAGATTCCTGCAGGGATTTTGCAGAGAATGGTGGCAGGGGTTGTTCTTCTGGGATTAACATAGAAATACAGTTGTGCAGTTTCCAATCCAGGTAGTAAGGAAGTTGCAGCTGCACTGGGAGAGGGGCAGAATTGCCACCCCATGTTCTCAGCATGTAATGGCTTAGAGAGAGGCTTAGGCTCACATTTTGAGATAGTCTGGAGAACACAGAAACCACGGAAAAATTGAAAGCTAGCTTTGGTGAATACCTCCCTGACTGGAGTTTAACTTCTCTCACCCTGGACCAAGTCCAAGAACATAAGGAGCTTGGAAGTCTGAAGGACATGTCTGAGTTAAACCAATGTGAATAGGTGGGCAAAAGTAGCTTATTCAAATAACTGACCTTGTGTTATTTCCAGACATATGGAACACTTCACCTTATGATATACATATATATCTAAGCCCACATTTATCCAAAATTACTTAGCTGTCCAAGCTGTCACTTACTGAGACTAATAACCAGAGGCATAAATAGCAGATCCATTCTGCTGCCTGGAAAATTCCAATAAAATTCAATCAATAAGGTCTGTATTAGAAACACACTCTTGAGTGGATTTTGGACAGAACAGCTCTGTGAGGGCATGTCTCCCTGCAGGATACAAAATGAGATATTCCACCTACTAGTTCATTTCTCTCTTTGCATCTCTGGTAGATAAAGGGAAATCAAATTTCCTCATGATAAATATTATGACAAAAGCAATTTGAAGTTTGAAGAGTTCTTTGTTCAAGGAAGCTGCCAGCACCTTTAGGATATGGCATGGAGACATCGTAGTGTTGCCTTCAAATGAGATAAGCCAGGAAGAAGAATACCAGGGAATAAGAAAAGCAAAGGGAAGATGAAACGTACTCAGTTCAGAGCTGTAGGAAATAAACAATTCACACATCCAGATTTGTAACTTCACTCAGAATCACTGATAGCTACCAAATGTACAGTGGAGAGCTCTGAGCCAGATACTGCTCGTGCTCTCTTGCATCTGCCATCTTCCATTGCTTAAAGAAAGTTGTGGCATGTGAATGTGTCCTTGGTGTCCAGAGCAGTGGCAAGTGACACTGGCAGCTCCCATGGTTATTTAAAATTGACTCAGTGTCTACAAATGAAATGTCCTGTCTCAGCCAGTCATTTGGTCACTGCTGTAGTCAGTGAGAAAAGGAGATGTCTCCAAGTGGCAATTTTTACTCCAGCCTAAGGTATGGGGATTGATTCTGTATTTCGTCTTAAGCCCACTGTGAATATTCCATGTGATAATCTATTTTTTCATTAAAAAACTTCTAATGCTCTGTTTCCTTCATTTCTCACCCAGCTGTAGAATCCTATTTGAGCCAACCCATTAACCATTGGAACATTTTTCCAAGGTCATATAATTCCTGGCATGAAGGCTTTATATATAAAGTGTGAGGGTCTGCCTGGAAAACTGCTGAAATTAATCCCAAGGTCACAGGCTTTATACAGAAGTCATGGTGTGGTATTACATGGCCCGTGAATGTGTGAGAAGAGGGCAAGTGATCAGAAGGATCTTCTCTTAACTTAAAAGCCATCTTAAAAACTGGTTCTGTTTTATCAGTTTCAACTGAAGCCCCTCCAGTGTATTTATACAGAGAACCACCCCTGCCATGAGTGTTTTTTTAAAGCACCTTTGAGGGATAACTTTTAATGCAGTTGTGGTTGTGTTCATGGCAGAAGGCACTGCAAACACTGTCCTCCCAAGATAAAAAAGTGGCATGCTGAAGTCACATGCATGAAAAATAGTGTTGAGCACTTCCTCACTGAATCACCAGGCTGACTGAACCTTTGGTCCACCATTCTCCCTCCCTCTCTTGTTCCCAGTAGTCTGGAGAGTTTCAGAACAAAAACTTTTCTCTCAATATAGTTCTCAACATCTGGAGCCTTGAAAACTTGATGGGGAGCTTATAAACTTGATGGGGAGCTTATAAACATCCGATGTCAACATTAGCTGTTGTTATTAATGACTTGGCTAATTCCTGAACCTATCACCAATGCAATTGCTTTTGAGGCTGTAGGCACTTCAGGAGAAGGCAGAAGAAAAGCCCCATTAATGACTTTTTGAAGAGGTGCTGGTGGCATCCTGGCTGACAGCACAGAATGGCCACGGGGTGTGTTAATCAAAGCAGAACAACAGGAATTGATTTCTCTCTCTCCCTCCTCCCTGCAGAACCGTGAGCCCTGAACTCAAGTCTTACGCTCTGGGGGTGCTTTTCCTGCTGCTCCGGTTGCTAGGTAGGTACAAAGGTTTTGTGTCCTTCTCTCCCAGCCTTTGTTGCCTCTTGGAACACGCAGTTTTTAACAAGCAGAAGTTGATTTCTACTCCTTGTGGTGCTGTCATTGTCGTGAGAGGGGTCTGACACACTGGGGTTCAAGCCCTCTCCATGAGGGATGTCACATCAAGGTTTCTGAAGGCACTTTTCCTGCCATTTGTGTTGTGCTAATGGAAGAAAATGCAGTGTTCCATGAGAAATGGCTGTTTCTCCTATGGTTCCACACAACCAGTTTTTCTTCTGTGGCTGTTAATACGTGTCAGCAGCTTGCAGAATTACTGCTGTACTGCATATTGCTGAAGTAGAGGGATATGGATTTTCACCCTCCTTTGAGGGACAGGACCTGTGTTACATGGTGAGTTTGCCCCTTCCTTTGGGTGTCTCAGAAATGAAACCAGGAAAATGAGACAGGCTGAGTCCTTGTTTCCTCCTGTGGATTAATATTCCATTAAAATGCTTATGGCTCTTCCTCTGGACCAGTGTGTTCTCCTCATGAATGAATTAAAGGGAACATACCAAGCTGCTCCTTGTTTCTAGCTGGTTTTTTTCCCCTCTGGAAGAGGTAGCTCCTATTTTAAACCTCTTCTATTTCAGTTCATTAGCCTCAGTGGTTCAGGGCACAATCCTCTGATCCATCATTGTGTGGGACCATCTCATGCCCAGGGCTTCTGCATGTTGTGGGAGTGGAACTTACTTTTTTTAGCAGGGCACAGAGAGCACCTTCCCTGCATGGCTCCTTTGGTCTCAAAGGAATGAGCTGGAGACTAAAGTGCCATCTCTTAGGCTACAGCAAGACACTGGGAAGTACAGGACTGAAATTCCAGCAGTACCAGACATCGCTTTGAATAAGTGACTTCATTTTTAAACTTATTTTTAATACCTTATTCCCCATAAGCTGAACAGGAAATTGTGCTCCTAGACCAGTTTACAATAAAGCAAATTAGATGTCCATTGGTTTTGGTAAACTGCAGTTATACAAAAAGCTCCATCAAGTTGACTTTCCCAGAGCTCAGATAGCTCAAAGGGAAGTTTCTGGGATGGCCCAGGTCAGCTCTGGTTCAAGCCTTGCAAACACAGCATTTTCTTTAGCTGCTGGTGCTGCTTGTGGGTTTTGGCCTGACTTCAGCTGTGACTGGCTGAATGTGGAGTCTCAGCAGGCAAGTGTGCAAGGAGGATGGCTGTGGGCTGTTGTTTCCAAAGGAAAAATATTTCAGGGGAGGGATTTTTAGCTTTTCTTTTTCCCTTTCAAAAGAGAGAAGCCTCCTGAGATAGCAACATCCTGAATTCCTCTAAAATCAGGCTCAGACATGTATGCTTAAGTTGAACAGATTTCTTTTTCTCATTCCAGTAAAGAAGCCATAGTGAGAATTTAAATCCAAATCTTTATATGTTGCTCTGTCACTAAGGGATTCCCACGAAATAAGACAATACATCCTGAAGCATATCAGCAATGTAGCTGGAACGCACAGAAAATTAAGAGAAAGATACTTTTCCATATGAGCAAGGGTATCCAAATTGTGCCTCTATCAACCTGAGGTTTGAGAATAGCTTTACTGATTTATTTTAAAAGCTTTTCAGTTCACCTTTAAGCTTTGACTTAAGAAGACAGCGATAATAGCTGCTTCTTACACCAAAGGAGAGAATTAAATGCAAGAGGTATGAGACCCGAAGGTGCAATCGTAGCTAATAGATTTCAGTAAGACAGAGGCACCTTTTTTTATGCAGCCCTACAGCTTCTGCTATGAAATACATATATATATATAGAGCAGAAATTTTTGCAACACTTTGCAGTAAGAGGTAGAACATGATTGACTCTCTTTAATATTCACTGCAATAACATGAAACATGACTGAATTCTCCCAGTATCCTCCTGCATATATTACCTCATTTCATAGGAATTCTGCTGTGAGAGGGCAGCCTAACAGTGTCTTCATGTAAAAGCATTACTGCAGTTTGCAAGAGAAGAGCATAAAGCAGTGCCATTGGAGCCAAAGGTTCGGAATGGAATTGTCTGGAATGGCAAAGAATTCCAGACCTTTAAGATCCTGGATGCATCCTTTCTGGGTGGTGTTCACCATGCATCCTGGAAGAACCTCTGCTTACCAGGGCACTTCCTTAGATTTTTTTTTTTCATCCTGGATGCATCCTGGAAGAACCTCTGCTTACCAGGGCACTTCCTTAGATTTTTTTTTCCAAGCTGATGTTGTTTGCCTTTTATTCTAACATGACAAAACCCCAGAGTGTGTCACTCTCAGGAGGAGTTTCTGGGTGCAGTGCAACTGCTCAGCTCCCTTGTCTCAGGGGTTCTGAGCACCACCTTGCTCCTGGGAGTCTCATCCTCTGCTAAAAACAACCTGAAATCCTCACTGGTTGCTGAAGGTTTTTCCACATGACTGCATTCACATGGGAGTAGCTTTGGAGTTCAAGGGAAACAGGTCCTTCCTCAAGTCTTATGAGGAGCACTTTCCAGGCCAAATTGTTGTGGACACCAGGCTGAAGCCAGCAGGTGGGGATGGCAGCTCTCCCTGAAGTTCAGCTGCACATCTCCAAAGCTCTGTGTTAGCATCTCTCAGCATGTTGACAAGTAGGGACTCACACCTCAAGATCATGATCCAAATGTGTTTTCTCTTATTACAGAAAGACTGTGGCTCCTCAGTCACTGGCAGATCTGGATATTACCCCTGAGGTGCCATCCAGCAGCACTGGGCACACAAACTGCAGTCAGCAGCCCAGCCTCTTCTCTGTGGCAGGAGCCCATCTGAATTTTTAAAATCCAGGTTGAGTGTGTGGTTGTTCACAGGTTTCAACTAAAAAAGTGTCTTTTAACTTAGAAGCAGAACCAGCCCAGCCTGGATTTTCTAGTCATTGAAATGATGAACAAAGAGCTGGTGCTGGTATTTTTTTTGCAGAACATAGGTTTTTAGATGTGATGACTGGAACGAGTATTTCTAACAAACAGATTGTCTTGCTTTTTTTTATCATCTGGTTTTATTTACTACATTTGTGCTATTAATGACTGGTTCAAATGAGTACCAAAAGCCCATATAACCTTTCTTAATTCCTGCATTTACCAACATATAAGGAAGATCAAACAAAATCTGCAGAGCTCCAGTCATCAAGAAAATAAAATAAAGAGATCTCAGTTACCACAGAGAACAGTGAAGACAACCAATTTATTTGTAGTCTTAGGATACCTGTCATGAATGTCACTACTTTGCTCGTGACAAGCTGAAGGAAGGTATCTTTTTTAAGCCTGGAAATCCAGGTTAATGATGAAACTGGATCCAAGATTAAACACTTTCCTGTCTAAAAACTGCAGTCCTTGTGTCTGCTGTCACAGGTATTTATAGAGTCTCAGGCATCACAGCACCTACGGATGCATTGATACTGTCAGGGGGGTGTCGTGCCTGCCTGCTGTTGGATTTCAGCACATGCAATGCTCTCCTTTGCTCACTGTCTTAACCCACAGCAGTGGCTTTATCAATCAGGGCTTTTTTCAGGGTTATCTGCTTCTGGCCTCTGCCCATAAGTACAGCAGAAGGTAGAGAAATGGTTACATTATGTAGAATGTTCACATTTTCATCCCAGTGCTGCACACCCAGGCTGGGGAGCGCGGAGCTGGAGCGTGGATGTCCTAATCACTGTCAGGCTAATGGGAAATGGGGGGTTGCTGCAGTGTCCCTGCAGGATGAGGGAAAGTAGACAAGAAAAACATTTCTTTTATTAGTTAAATGAGATTGGAGTGATTACTTTGCTTGAAGATTGCAGCTCTTCTGCAAACTATGATTGAGAAACACTCATTGGTAGTTAGCTGCAGTGGCTGTGGGAGACTCCTGCTGTGATATTTCATTTAATGGCACTCTGAAATTTTCCCTTCTCTTCTGATGGCATCTTTGACATCTATTAGGGGCTATTGTTTCTTCTCCTTAGATCCAGAGAAAACCTTTTGCTATGTTTTGCTATCAGGGTACAGGCCAAAACTGAATCTCAGTGCCAAGACTGATTTTAGGTGCTGAAGTGGAATGCTATGAGATCCTTCAGAGCAACACTCTAAGTGCAGAATTGCCAGTTTCTAGAGAATGAGCTGCAAGGCTGTCCTCCTCCTCTTTCATTTACCCCTTCACTTAGTCTCATTAGGCAAACAAGAAGCTTAATAAAAGCCACTCAGACTTGAATAAGATTCTTGCTGCATGTTGATATCAGCAGGATATCACGTCGCTTCCACAGACGTTAAGTCCAAGCTAAAAGCCCATCCACAAACTTCATTCAGGTTGATTTAGAACTTCAAAAATTAGAATCACAGGCTGCAGCTGGGACTATTAGCCTTGATAAAGTACCCTTTTTCAACTCACTGCAGTCACGTCCTCTCTCTTTATCACAGGGATCATAGAAGCATGACTTGTCTCTCTTATTTTGGCAGGTTTTATCCCACCTCCGCTGATCTTCGGGGCCGGGATTGACTCCACGTGTCTGTTCTGGAGCACATTCTGTGGAGAGCAAGGAGCCTGTGCACTGTATGACAACGTGGTCTACAGATACCTGTATGTCAGCATTGCTATCGCCCTCAAGTCCTTTGCATTCATCCTGTACACCACCACCTGGCAGTGCTTGAGGAAAAACTATAAAAGATACATCAAGAACCACGAAGGTGGTCTCAGCACTAGTGAGTTTTTTGCCTCTACTCTCACCCTAGACAATCTGGGGCGGGACTCTGTGCCCCAAAATCAACCACATAGGACAAAATTTATCTATAACCTTGAAGATCACGAGTGGTGTGAAAATATGGAGTCTGTTTTATAGTGACTGTGGAGGAGTGAACTATATTAATAATACAAGGGTCCTTTTTAATAAAAACAAGGAGAGAGCACGAATGAAAGAAGAAACAACTGCAAAACAGCAACGGCAACACAGGAAACTTTTGTCTTTTTCTCAAAGTCAGACCCAGCCAGGATTCTTGAGAAGAGAGAGTCTTTTGATGGGATCACTTGTGACATCCTGTGGGGTGGTGGAGAAAGCAGGGAGCCCTTGTGGCTGGGCACCAGCCCCTTGTGACAGCACGAGCTTCCAAGCAGGGCACCTGCAGAGGTTCAGCAGAGAGTTGGGCACGAGGTGCAGGGAAAGCAAGGTGATGAGAGCAAGGTGATAACAGCAATAGGTTCTTTCCCAGTTGAGATGGGGCGTGCGGAGCCCTGCAGGGCTGGCCAGGCTGGGTGCTGCTCCAGCCTGCTGCGTCCGCGATGGCGAAGAGGGAGCGGTGCTGGAGTCCTGCCACCAGTCACACTCTGCCACCAGCCACGAGTCCACCACAAATTCCTTGAAAGCTGCTGGAAACCTTCCCTGATGCTGTCAGGGGTATCCAAGTCCTTCCAGGCCAGGCTTATTCGCAGATTGCAGCTCTGTGGCTGTCTGTGAATAACCGTGCTCAGATCTCAAACCCAGTAGAGTTCAAGACATTTGCTCACACTTGCCAAACGTGCTGTCATTTTTAAAGGGGGATGAGTTCCAAATACTTATCTGTGTAGTCCTCTAATAAGATGTTTTTTGAAATTATTTTCGAGTATATGTTAACCCTTAAATCGCTGACACTTTTCCATGAGGAGGATTTATTTATGCTAGTTTGGGCAAGGATCCTGTTTAATTCACCCAAACTTAATGTGACTCAAGGGGTTTGTTTAATCCTCTGCATTTTTTATCCATACGCCTTCATTCTAATATGCTACCAAGCCAATGAAGACACATAATATGTTTTTAAAAAAGAGAATGAATGCACTGTGTCTCTATAAAAACAATTGTCTGTTGGAGAATTATAGATAATATGATGATTTACATAATATAGTTTTTTCATATTCTATGTGACTCAGTGAATACATATATATGTGGAGAGGCTGTTGATGTTCTCTCCAGTTTTTAAAGATATATATATATATATATAATTTGCAATCTAGAAATTGTGTGGTGGATGTTTTCTTTAAAGTGCGTGTGTGTGTGCGTGCGTGTGTGTGTGTGTACAAGATGAGAGGAATACTGACCTTAATCTTTCAGCCCTCACAGTTGGTGTTTTATCTTTCACCTGAGAAATTCCACTGACTTTCAGTGGAAGACATGTGAGGAAGATGGAATAATCTCTCCTGGATGCCACATTTTGTTTGTACATGTGGGAATAGTGTCCCTCTGGAAGGCTGGGTTATGGGACCAGAGGCTGGCCAGCATTGAGCAACTCAAACTTCCATTCAGCTCCCCACAAAGCATCCATGCAGGAGCAGATTTGGCTTGGCTCCTGCAGTGCAGCCTTACCTAAACCTGCAAAAACCATAGGGAAACTTTCATCTGATTACAAGAAACGTGGGGGTCAGGCTTATTTTGTATGCACATTTTTGTTTTCCTAAACATTCCTGCTGGGAAGCAATGCAAATTGGTTAAAATTTGATGAGTTTTTTTCCCAGGAACCAGACTTGTTTCCGATGGACTAAATGTCAGAAGGGCTTTAAGGGTTAGCATCATAATTAAAAGTTCCTTTTTTGTGTGAATTTCGAAGCTGTTGTGAATTGAGGATGTTTAGAGGAGTAAGTAACCTGGCGTGTTGAGTTAAATGCTGGATGTCACTTCCATGCAGGTGGCAGAGGGGCTGATCTTCCCCAAGTCCTTGTCCATTGCTGCAGTGGACACCCCAGAGCTGGCACAATTACAGAGGGTTGATAACTTGTCACTCATGTTCAGCACATTTTTAGCAGACTTTGCTCTGATCCAGGCTTTGTAGCATGGGTGTGGAGTATCAAACTGCTTCCACTTGATTGAATTTATATGTGTGCTTGCAGCTTATGCACAGAATTACATGTTCAGCAACAATAAGGGCAGGAAAAAAGGGTGTATCAAATAAACTCCATTGTGCCAAATACTCAACAAATATTGTAATTGCAGATATTTAATTCTTGGGTTTCAGCCATGTTAAGAATCGCTCAATTGATGAAGGAGTTTAAGGAAAAAAAAATATTAAGCTATGCAGTGCCATTGTTATGTTGGGTGGTAAATGATGCTTTTTAGACCATTGTATTGGTTTAGCATATCCTGTCTGCTAAAATAGAGATACTGCATCCATAAAACAATGAATTCAAAAAAGGCACAGGGTGCATAACTGTCTCATAAAATATATATAATTGTCAAGTATAAGCCTTTGAAATCATTCTGTACAGTTCTCTTCATTCTGCAGATTTATTACTTAGACTGCTGTCTTTCCAAATGTTAGCTCATAATTTTATACTATACACACACTTTCAGACTCAAACACAAATGTCACACAATAGAACCTTTCTAAAAGCCTGATTGCTTGAAATTTCATAACCCCTTTCACAATTTCATGATTTTCCCCTCTGAAAGTCCAAGGTGAAGGAGAATAGCATGCTGATTGGTATGATGTAAAACAAACTCCCAGTGCTCACGAGCTGTGGTTTGTTGCTACAGTCAAAAGTCTCCCTTGACCGGAGTTATAGAAACAGGATTCCAGGGCACATTACATTTTCATTTGTGTTTTTCTTTACTTTTTTCATTTGATCTCTTCTCTTAGTATGTGTGGGAGATGCAGCTGAATGGGGTTACTTATGTTATTTCTAAGCTGTAACGTGAAATTCCTGCATGATTGTTACTTTACTTCTTTTGATAATGGAACTCTTGAAAATTTCTTTTCCCCCATCCCACTCTTTTCTTTTTTTTCCCCCAGGGTTAGGTCTGATGCCTGCATCGTGAAGGGCTTTGCTGTCAGTGCTTTGGTACAGATTTGAGAACAGAGCTTTAGTTGAAAGAAAATACACAGACCAAACCCTTCACAGCCACACCAGCAGGCATTTTGGTTTCTTTCTGATTTCAGAACCACAAGCCTGCATCCCAATTTTTGTTACAGAATAACAGAGGAAGAGTGTCAGACATCCTCCCTCTTCCCAAACTGCGTTATGGGCCTCACCTGTCAGCACTTCACCTCCATCCTGCAACTGCCTTAACCATGCAGGGAACTCAAAAAACAAGGATGGAGTTAGAAAAACACCCATTCCCAGGAACAGAAACAGGGCCATGCTCTGAGCTGTGTGGTCCAGATCCAGTGGTGGAAATTGTTTCTTCATATTCAAGGGCATTGAAATTCAGGGGTTTGTTGAGGCCTCAGTCTCAGCAGAAATGTTCTTTTGGTGTTTCCAAGCACTGTGTTCCACACGTGGCTGTCTGCTAAGGAATGGGATGTTTGGAAGAACAAACTACTTGAGATTCTGCAGTCTCTCTGGGATTGACCAGCTGCCTTGCATGGCTTCAGGCTGGGGTTTCCTTTCCCTTGCTCAGATCCCACTTTGGAATAGCCCCAGTGGAATCAGAAGGGGACCCCAATCTAAAATCGGTGCAGATGACACTGGAATCCTTTTCTTTTCATCCTTGTTAACAAGGTGATGCATTTCCAGAACCTTCTTTTAATACAGATAGAAATCATCCATTTTTCTGACTTTACCCAACACATCTTGGATGTAGAGTGGGACTGAAAAGTCCATCACTTGAATTATCACAAACCTTCCATTCTTGGCAATTCAGCTCAATAACAGGGGCCTCCCTCTGCCATTCCCCTCTGAGATGCACTGAACTCCTCGGTGCTGCTGCTGTTCATCGTGGTTGGGTCTCACCTTGCTCAGAAGGTGAGAAGGGAAAGATGCAGAGAGGAATTAGCTTCCATTATCTGACTTAGCTACACTTCAAAATGCTTCCAAATTGAACTGATGGTCTGCAGACATTTGGAGAGTGATTGGAGTATTTCCAAATGGCTGAGATACATTTACTTATTTTGCCTTGCAAAAAAAAATTAAAAAAATTAAGGGAATGAATGTGATTTGAACCCCCTCCTATCCCCATCAGGATTTTATGTTCATCACATTGCAGTGAAGGCAATGTGCTTAAGGTTCACCTTTGTGTTTCAGTCAAACTCACTTTTTTTCTCAATAAATGGGGTACTGGGACACAGAAAGGCAACTCCATCTCACAACCAGAGTTTCAGTCCACAGCCAACCCACAACAGCCTGAAGCCTACCAGCACTGTGAAGCTTTAGCCCCCAAGCCAGCCACAGCTGTTGCTGCCATGTGAGGGTTTGTCACAGCTGGGTGTGTTTGGCTTGGTATTTTCTTCAGGCTTTGGCATTCTTGGTGTGATGTTTGCTTTGTTCTTGGCAGGTGATGTGGGGAGTTGTCAGTATAAAAGACACATGCAAATGCTTCACTGGACTGATGTGATAACAGCTTTGTTATTTTATTCACAAGGGTTTCCAGACTTACTCCTGCTCTGCCTTTAAATGCAGCTGGGCTCATCTATCCCCCTAATTTCTTGTGAACTGTGTTTGCAGACAGCAGCAGGTTTGTTGTTGTTCTCTCTGTAGATCTGATTAATATGTGCAAAGCTCACAAGCTTCCTGTGTACAGGGCAGAGCACCCCTGATTACAAGCAATAATACTGACCTGCTCTCGTTTGCAACAGGGCTTCTGGCTTTTCTTACTAAATCTGGCTTCACCTGTCTCAGCATCCCACACTGCTGCTGTGCCTCCCCTCTTTTGTTGGCAGCCAAGACAGAATTGGTGGGAATATAGGCAGCAGTTTATTAAAATGCTGGTGTGAGCCAGGTTCAGCCATGCTTATCTGGTGGTTGAGACTGATCCAAGGAGGAAAGGACATTGTAACTGAGCCACTCTGAAAGGATTATCCACCCTTCTGTGCTCCTGGATAGCCCTTCCTCCACCAGACCCATGGTTTTGGGTGTTTTCTTCCAAACTGACCATCAGCTTCCTTTCTCTAGCCACAGTTCTTCCTTCCCCCAATGGCCAAGCACAGCTTGGCTCTACCAAGCCAATACAAGGTATCCAGAGTTACTGAGAAGCGTTTAAATGGGAGCCAGCAGGTCTCACTCAGTTTTACATATGTTCAAAATGTTATAGTTTGTTCAAAGCACAGCTTGGCTCTACCAAGCCAATAAAAGGTATCCAGAGTTACTGAGAGGCGTTTTAAATAGGAGCCAGCAGGTCTCACTCAGTTTTACATATGTTCAAAATGTTATAGTTTGTTCTGCTTATATCCCCTAAATCTATAACTTCTAGGCTGCAAATGATGCTCTCTATCATTACATTGACATTTCTAGCCAATCTGAGTCTTAATACAATTGCTTTGCTGAAAAATGGCCTTTCAGCAGTTCTCAGACATGAGGTACTTCTTTATTAACTAGTGATGCCAAGTAAAATCTGTGGCCATTGTCTGTTCCCTGAGTTCAGGGGAGCAGAGGGAGGCTGTGCCTGCCCAGCAGCAATACTGGTGTTTCCTGGGGCAGAGTGTGAACATGGACTGCTTTTCTTTCAGCTTCAGTCTTGCCTTGGCTGCTTGGCTCTGAGCATCTCTTGGTCCTAAAAGGAATTCAGGGAGTTCAGGAGAAGCTGACTGGACAGAGCAATCCATGTGGATGGCTGCCAGAGTAGGGCTTCAGGATGTTTGTAGTGTTTATGTTGTTTTGCCTGTCAAAGCTTTGCTTCTATCTCTATTTGTTTGATGAATGGAGTGACCCCAGGGATGGGGTCTGTGCAATGGGATGAGTTTGTGACGTTTGCCCCATTTATTCAGATTAAGCAAGGTGTCCACCCCTAAGAAGGAGAAGCTTTGTCATACCCTGAACAGTTTGTGGTGGTGGACTGGTTCTCCACAAAGTTGGTATCTGCATATGGCAAGAAGCAATAAGAAACTTGTCAGCTAAAACTCGACAAATAATTTATAGCAACTTCACACATTAATTTTCTCTTTTATTTCTTCCTTGCAAATTGCTGAGAAAACCAAGAAAATGCGTCCAGTGTATTTGCAAGGTCGTTTCTGCATATCATCTGTGGTCTGGAGAAGCTGGAAAAGCTTTCTTGTAATTCATACACAGGGATTTGTTCTGGATGGACATAAAACTCACAGAGGTTATTTCTGCTCCCTGAGTTCCCTAAGCTGGAATTTTCTCATCAGTAAAAATATTTAGTTCAAAAGTATGTGATCAGGAATTGAGTAAGAGGATCCTTGCTCAGTGTCTGTGGCTGGCTTCCATCTCACACTCCACTTCCCAGGAATATTCTCTCACAGATGCTTGAAATTCTCAGCCTCTCCCAGTATTCCTACTGGTTAAAGGACTCATTTGAGTAATTGCTGAGAGCAAACACCAGAAGGGTATGAACCCAGACAAAAGTGAATTGGTATTGAGGTGAAGCAGGTGGTGTAAATTTTATTTGCGATGTTTGCACAGCTCTTGGATCAGAAGCAGAAACCTCTGGGGCATCAAGAGAGTTGCATATGGCCTAACATATCTTAGTTCTTCCCAAATGAATTGCCCATGGGTGGGGCAGCAAAAGGCATCTTTCTCTGCCACGGATATCTCAGCCCCCCAAACCCATTTTCTCTTGCAGTATGGCATCGCACAAACAGCAGTGCATTTACCCCTCAGTGCAAACAGTGCTGTGTTTTTGGTGCCTCACAACTCTAACTGTGAACTTGAAAGGAAGAAATGACCCCTGCTCTTCACCCGTGACACTTCCTGCCCGATCAGAGGAGGAGGATGATCCCTCTTGGAGACTCACAGCTGCTTTCCTAAACTCTTCCTGCAGCAGGACCAAACGGTGCTCTGTGATCACCATGGGTGGCCTATTCCCTGTGCTAGGGGTCTGTAGCTCAGCTGCAGCCCCACGTTGCCTTCACGGTGTTTTGGTGCAAAGCATGGTGAGGAGGCTGCACATGACTGCCCCTGACAAGTGCTGAGGTCTGCCGGTGGTCTGTGACCACCAAAGTTTTGGAGTCTCCACGTTAGCACATGAAAGCAGCTTCCCTCAACCTGATTTTGGGGAAGAGCCATCCCAGAGCAGGTTCAGGGGGAAACTGGAGCAGCGCTGGGACCGCACAACAGGGAGCTCACATCCATAGGGAGGAGGGGTGGGATGGAGCAGAGGAAGAGCTGTGACATTTTAAAACCCATAGTGCCTACCACTGCAAATGGAACGCTGTATTGTATTATATTATACGTGACTACCATGTAAATAAAGTACAATAAATGTGGTGTTCGTTAGGATTTTGATACAAGTCAAATGCAGTCTGCAGAAGTGGTTTTTTCCCTGCTGTATGTACTTACATCACATTCCAGGCACGGGGACGTTTGGAGTCGTGGGAGCTAACAATGCATAAATGGCATTAGATGGGGCATGTTTGCAGTAAGGCTATTCTGGAATTCCTTTTGCCCTGTGCAGGTGAGACACGAGCACCATGTGAAATCAGAGGGGAGGGAGTGGGGGCAGTTTGCACAGGCAGGAGGGGAGCAGCTCTTGCTGTGGTTCCTGAGCAGAAGAGGCTGCCCAGCCAGTCCTTGGCCATGCCTCATTCATGCTGGAGAAACAGCCAGGTTCCAGTGGCTGATCTCTCCTTCTTTGTTTCCCTGCTGCAGAGGTTGGCCAGCAGCACATGCCCTGCCTGTGTAACCTGGTTATTCCCCACCCCTGACAGCCCTTAGTGGCAGCTACAGATGAGCAAACTCAAGAGCTTAAAATTCAAAGCATATTGGGAAAGAAGTTCTTGACCAGCTGGCTCCTCTGTCTCTCTGACAGAGATTGAGCGGCTTGGGGTTTTGGCTAGTAAGAATATTAGGAACCTACTTTGTTCCTTAACTCACTCCCTTATCCATCATTCTCTTTCTCCATAGTGTAAATAAAAAAAAGTAATACATTTTCACGAGGCAGGCCTGCCATGTGCCCTCCAAATCCTGATGCAGCTCTCAGCTGGGTTGTTGGTGGGAGTTTCTCTTGGCTTCAGAAGCTCAGGATTTCTCTGACAAGTGTTTGCAGCTGGGTGCAGTCTTCCATCAGTGCATGGAGGGTGCTTCCATGCTGATTGTCTTGTTGGAGAACAAGACCACCCCATGCAGTTTGTCACACCTGTGCTTGAAACTCACCTGCAGAGCTCTGTGCAGGGTCCACAGCACTGGAGGAGCATTTGCCTGCCTTGTACCAGACCAGTCCATGGTGTTTGTCCCTCTAACCATTGCTGTCCTTCACAGTCAGCTGGGCAGAGCAGCATTTGTGGGTTGTGGAGAAGGTCCTTCCTGCCCAGAACATCACAAATAGTCTGTTGGACCTGGATGAGCCCACGTGCCACTGCCTCTTCTCGGGCTGGGAGTCACTCTCTTCCTGCAGTGCCCAAGGGAAAGTGGTCCTCAGAAAGGTCTCTGAACTGTGCTGGTAATTTGACTGCTGGTAATTTTTCAAATGTTTAGCAGCACTTCCAAAATAAACCAAAACCTGGTTTGGAAAAGGAAATGTTTCACTGTACAATTGACTTTAAAAAAAAAAGAGAAGCCACATGCTCGATATATTTTGAGTACTGTGTTCTGTATTTTTGCAGCTTATATTTTCCAGATGAGCAGTTTAGAAATATGTGATGTGAAATACATACTGTAAGTTTGCTGTAAATGATATTAAAAACACTATTTTCATTCTTGTCCTGTCTCACTGGATGATCTCTTTGGTTCTCCCAGGTTGGCTGGCTGGGCTGGTGCTCTGGGTGTTCCAGAAGGTTCTCAGTCTCAGTAAAAGCAGGGTTGAGGGTTCAGGTTGGAGGTTTGCTAGAAATGACAGTGGGGGTGAATGTGTTCTGTGCATGTGCAGTGCCTCCAGAGGGGAGGTCCAGTGAAGCAGTGGTTGTGGCAAAAAAGGTAAGGCAGGTTTTGGGGAAGGGCAAAATGAAGTTTAATAAATGGAGAAAGTAAAGAGAGAACAAGGGCATCCTAAATCCTTTCATAACAGGGGAACTTGAACACCTGGAAGACACTAAAATGAGGAGGAGCTCAGAGGAAACATTATTTGAGCAGGAAAATGCTGGATGTGTCAGCAGTGATGAATATGTCTCACACTCTTTGTGTCAGTTCAGCTGTGGAGGAGGGAAAAAAAAGAGCTTTTAGCTGAAATAGCAACAGCTGAGTGAAGTGGCTGAGCCCTGCCATGCACCCTGAGCCCCTGCAGCTGCAGAAGCTTCTCCATCTCCATGAGTGGGACCAGGCCCAGAGGGTGACACATTCCTGAGGATTCAGTGACACACACTTCCCCTTGTTCCAGCTGCTGTGCTGGTCAGAATAAAAGCAATCACTCCTTTGACCCTTTATTTTTAAATGCTTCAAATCTGGTGTATCAAAGTTTTCTCCTGAAGCTGCTACAAAATTATGCTAAACGAGGCAATTGCATTCCAACTGAGTTGAATATTCACTTATTCCTTGTTTGTTCCATTTTTTTTTATCTTTCCCTTTTCCAATTCCCTCTTCTGAAAGACGGTGAGCAAAACAAAGATTAAAAGTCAGAAAACAAACAAAAAAACCAATTTTTTTGCACAGGAGTTGAATCCAGCCACTATTGCTTTGAATTCACTTTGCAACAACAGGGGCTTTGGAGAATAGTTCAGGAGGAATGAGGGAGGAAATCTGGGGGAAAAGAAATGTTTTGTTAAATGTTGACAGCGAAGAATCTTTTTATTTATTTCACTTCACTGCTTTTCCTCAGCCCAGCTCCTGGTAGTGTTGAGGTTTTTGCAAGCTCAAAGGCATCATTCCTGCTTGCTCCTCTGGCCATTCCTGGCAGGTCCCTGTCCCCTACAGTGGATGGACACATCACACCCAGCACTCCACTGCCTCCCTTCAGCTAGCCTAGACCTTTCCTTTTTGCTGCTACCTCTAACAGAATCTGGTTAATTGGGTATTTACCGAGCTGAATTCTGTTGTGGGTGCAGACTATTAACCTTTATGTCACCTAGAAGAGATTACACCTGGTAAAGTTAATGTTTTGAGACTGGGAGGTTAATGTGTCAGTCAGTGCCCAGCCCTCCCTTAATTAGCAGCAGGGCCCGTGTGTGGCTGTGCTGTGAGCCCTGCTTTAATTAGAAAGGACTCACAGTTGGGTCACACCATCAGCATCAGTTTGTGTGCCCCTTTCAGCCTTCTCTGATCCTTCTCCTCCTCGGTGCTCCAGGGCCTGGGGTGACTCCTGATGTTCTGGTGCCCAGCCCAGGGAGGCTGGGATGCTGAGCCCTTCCTAAGGCACGCTGAGCTGGGCCTAAGGCAGTGCCTGGTGGTGAAGTCTGGGCAGCTCCAAGTGGAGAAGGTTGTGGTGTTCCAGGCAGAAGGTCTCAGCTGTGCACCAGCTTTGCTCAGCTCCTGAAGCTTTAGATGATGTGTGTGCTCCTGAGATGGCTCAGGGGCCTGGAGGGATTGGAAGGGGTTGGGAGAACCTATTTTGGTTTTGGTTTTGTGTTGTTCCCTGTGCAGGCTGTGTGACTGCACAGAGCAGTCTGGTGGTCTGAAATGGAGAATGCTGGAAGGATAAAACACAGCATTACAATTGTCACTCTCTACCACAAACCTTCTTTGAAGAGCCTTTCTCAGCCAGCCAGAGAAGAGGGACAGATCCCTTGTTCATGGCAGGGCGAAGTTAGGAGTTTATCTCCTTTCTGTTTTCCTGTCACTCCTCTGACAAATAGGTGTCCTTCCACACGAATGCCTCTGGCTCTGCAGGCAAAATGCAAAACCAAACTGCTACATACAGCCAGTCAGAATATTCCCTGTGAGGGGAAAAAAAAAGTAATTTCCTCCAAATCATGACTTTTTGTGGGAATATCTCTGTTTCAGTGCTATTTCATTCAAACAAAAGCTGATGAGCTCGCAATATCTTGTTGAAATTGGAGCATTTAGAGTTTTCTTTGGGAAACTGTAGCTTGAATTTTTTCAGCATATAAAATAAATTGGAGTATTTGGGCTTTTATCAAAATGAAATGTTTTGATTGCCTTCAAGCAATATTTTCTGCTTAACATTACACTTCTGTGGAATTTCTGAAATTCAGTGTTTTGTTCTATTTTGAGGCACAAGTGCACATAAACCTTCTGGAACTTTTCACAGATGCCTTTTGCCAATCCAGACCCCACCAGAAAAATACTTTGAGAGCGTGATGTCTGCTTGGGACATGGGAGCAGGCACAGCTGCTGTGAGGGAATGCAGGAGCACAGTCACCAGCACAAGGCCATGCTCTGGCCAGCCAGCGTGAGGATGAATCCTACTTTAAGCAATTAAAGGTTTATCCATTGCTCAGCTTCTTTTTTCCATTGATCCAGCCTTTGAGAGAATAACTATTTAAAAATCAAAGCTAATGGTGCATTTTTTTTTTTCCTGTTAGCTTGAGGCCAGTGTCGGTTTTAAAATTGGCTTTGTGTCTGCTCTTTTGCCAGTTTGCATCTTCCCTCCCTGGCAGGGGAAGATGCTTGGGCAGGGCTCATCCTCAGACTGGGAGCTCCACGTTCAGGGGCTGAGCCTGCTCCTGTCCCACAGGCTGCAGAGCCCCAGCCTGTATTTTTTGGAATGCAGCGTTCCCAGCAGGAGACTCCTTATTTTGGGAGTGAAAATCCACAAAGCTGAGGGGCAGCTGTAGCAATAGGGTGTTTTTACTGGCTTTGTAGGTGGGAAGGAGCTGCTTGAGGAGCACAAAGTGCAGCTCGGGGGAGTTTGCTCCCTGCCTGAGGTCCATGGGGCTGGCTGGCTGTCAGGATCATTACCTCATCACAAGGACCTCGCTGCCTGCCACAGTGCTCTTCTGCCAGCCTTTCCTCCACCTCTCAGGCTCTTTAGTCCATTAGTCACCTCGCTGGCCTTAAATAAAGGAATTTGAGGTTTTCATTAAAGGTCTTGAGCCTGGGAAGCTGATGCTCAGCAGGGGGCCCATTTTCACCTTTAGGAGACGGCCAGAAAGAATAAAAATGGTCTCATTATACAGCAGGTTAGGAAAATTTCTGCTGAGAGGTGGGAGAGCAAAGGGGATGGAAATTATTATCTTTTTCTCAGGTGGGCTCAGGATGGCAGTGAGGAGAGAACGTGCCCCAAAGGCTGCAGGGCAAAGTGAACAGGGATCCTCAGGCTGTTGCCAGCAGATGAGCACAGAAAGTCAGTGAGCAGAAATCCAGGAGTCTTAGAAATGCTTGGGATGGAGTGGACCCTCCTCCTGATTTTCTGTCTTACAGATGGTTTCTGGAATTAAACTTACCTCTCCAACCCTCCCTTCATGTGCAGGAGGAAAGGGACTGCTGGGCCAATAATATGAGTGACTGGTGTGATGATGTTTTTGTGTCAACCCTTAGAGCATGCTGGAGCTACCCTTCCCCTTAGATTAATTAGGAATACTTTCACCTGAAATCCTGAAGATTTTTTTCCTGCAAGCCTTGGGTGTATACAAAGCATCTTCTCTATTCAGGACATGTACAAATTCCCCCCTGAAATCAGCACTCATCCAGTGCTAACACCCACACAACTTCCAAATATGTCTGGAAAGGAGCAGAGCAGCTTGAGAAACATCTAGATTTCTGTATGAAGCCAGAACATAACCCGGCCTTTGTTGAAATGACACAGAGCTGTTTGACTTATTTTATTTATTTGTTTTCTGATATTCTGGAAACATGCTGCTGGACAATAAACGCCTCTGGAGATGCAGAAGAGGGTGCTGAGCTGCACACCAAAACCTGCTCAGCACAAAAACACTCTTTGTAGCTAAAGATAAGGTTTTAGAGGGCTCTCTTTGCCTTTGTATTACTTCTAATCTGCTTCACTGCGGGTCATAAAGCCTGGTGTGCTGAGTTTTTCGAGTGCCATTAGTTTATGGGCTTGTTAACAGAAAGGATTTTGTTGGTCTTTCACGGTCTGAATCTCATTGAACTGGAGATCCCTCGGTGTAATTTTGATGGCAGAGGAGAATCAGGTTAATAACATTTAGGATCATCTTTCAGAAAATATTCTTTGAGCTGGTTCCCTTTTCCAGCTGGTTCCCTCCTTTCCCTGCTCTCTTGTTGCCATTGCTGGAGTTAGCTCCCTGGTATCAGGAGCTGTGTTTATGTGGTCATAGCTTGACTTAAAGCTTTAGAAACAGCAGGGCAGCCACCTTTTGGGGTGGCAGAAGAAGGTGAAGGACTCTGCAAGAAGCATGTTTGTTTGTTTGTTTTTTCATGTCTGTCTCTATACAAAGCTGCAGATGGGAATGCCAGAGTGTTTAAAAGCCAGGGGAGAAAAGGCAAGTTAGACTTTTTAAAGCATTGTTAGAGCACAGCAGGCCCAGTGATAGCAGAGATGTGAGACAATAAAAGGGTGAATCAGTTAATTAGGATGTTTGGTTAATATACTGCTGCAGTCAAAACTCTTCTGCTGCCTTCCAGTTAGAGCAGAGGAATTGTGAGATCTGAAGAGGACAAGCATGTTATGGGGGCTGGAAATAGAACAGTGTGTTTCAGCAAGGGCAGGAAAAAGTACCCAGAGGAAAGTCTTCAACAAAGAATGTAGCTTCCAGAAGTTTGTAAGTAGCTCTTGATCCACATCTTACATTCTGTCTTGGACTTTTCATAATGCTACTGCTGCTGAAGGAGCCTTTTGATGGTTAAAACTCAGAGACAGCCTGGCCTGGCATCCTGCACCTTTCAGTTCT